CTCTTCCTAGAAGTAATTCCCACTGGAGACAAAGTTTCTGATTAGTGAAAAACCTGAGGAATCCTTTATTCTCCAGAGTGGGAGCCCCTTTTAAAGCAGAAATACGTCATGTACAGAGTCACAGTTAACATATAGTATTCATTCAACAATTGGTTAACAGTCTAAGGGGTCTTGTCTAAATCTCCCCTACAGGATGTAATTCTCCCACCCATATTCCAGCTCCATCTTGGTTACACGATGAGAGGGGGAGTGAGTAGTAGTTACTGAACAGAGAGGGGCTGAAGGGGAAACAGTTACTTTAAACAGCGATTCTCCATTTTGTTACACGTGGCACCTAGCTGTTAACTTGCACAAAGGAAGTGGGGGAGGAGTTTATAAAGGAAGCTGTTCTTTTAAAACAGGAATTTGTTACACAAGGCTTGCTCGATGGGAAGGGGGGAGGGTAGCAGGATGGGAGGAATTTGCAGAGGAAATAGTTACTGAGCACACAGAGGGGGGGGAGGAGGGAAGCTTTTACTCTAGCAGCCAGTTTAACATTGTGAACACAGAATAAATAGACATTAGTAAATAGCCATTTTATTTTAAATCTTTTGTCCATAACAATATTTTTAAAGTAAAACTGGTGTTTTTAAGAAGGGCAAATTAGAACCTAAGCAAATAAAGGCAGTGAATGAAAGCTAGACTTGATGGGGTTTTGCATTTTGTCATTTGCAGGCTATGGAAAAGTGCAAAGATGCCGGGCTGGTGAAGTCTTTGGGTGTTTCCAACTTTAACCGAAGGCAACTGGAATTAATCCTCAACATACCAGGACTTAAATACAAACCTGTCTCTAATCAGGTAGGCAATTGTGATAACAAATTTCACTATTATGTAATGCTAATAAATGCTATGAATATGACAGAAATATCTGTATAAAATAGTCATGAAATTACAAAGTGAGATGTGTGATAGTCTCATATTTAACCAAAATTTAAATATAAAATAATGTCGCCAAACCTTTACACCAAAACCACTATTATTAGTTATTATTATCAGGTTAAATGCAAAGGGATCACAAGATTCTCTATTAGAATGCAAAAACAAACAATTTATTGACTATCCAAAAATATTTTTAAAACTGAGGCATATAATGTAGGTTTAAATCATTCACACAAGGTTATTCACTAAACTAAGCGGACTCAAAAATAGGTGTGCTGATAAAATTCTGCAATTCCATAGTCACATCTTGTTTTGACTCGGTTTATACATTTGGATTTCATTCACAAAAATTGGGAGTGTAGTAAATAACCCTGAATGTATGGCATAAGACTTTGTACCTTTCAGCTGTCTGATGTCAGTCTTAATTTTACCACATGACAGGAGGCTTCCTATTTGCATAACTCTTTACTGAAAATCTCCAGCGGCACAGAAAAACAGTAACAACCAATCAGAAAAAGTTAGATGGCACATAAAAGGCCCTGACAGTGACATCATTTCCTCTTTCTTTGCTGCTCCAGCCTGCACAGGTCAGAGTATTTGCCTCTCCTGCATATTGTACCTTCATTTGACTGTAATATTACATCCCTGCCTCTGCCTTTCCTGTCCCCCCTCCTTTTATTATATCTAATTTTGTATTATTTTTTTCCCGGTCCCTGGTTTGTTTTCATACTATTTACCTCACCGCGATCGCGGGCGTCACGGCTGTCAGTGCCGCTTTCGCACCGGGTCTGCGGCTGCATTCTCCTGCTGGGACCATGTGGGGATGGAGGGTGGGGTGTCAGGGCGGTGTTGGACGCACTTTCAGCGGGCCCGCAATGAGCGGTTACGCCGCTGTAATTTGGGAGCGAACGGCGGCCATTTTGGATCTCACGGGTAAAACCGCGAGATCCTCGACAGCTGTTCCGGTTCCTACCTCTGCAGATCGGGCACTACCTGATCTGCACCTTAGTGTTCCATATATTGTTTTTACAGGGCACTTGGTCTACCATAGATTTCAAAACCGCTTTTATAGGAGATATTACACATAACAGCCCTGCATTAAAGGAGCCTCCACACTAACACTGTTAGATTTAACCACTGCCTGTCGGTTTGTGACCTACACTGAATTACTATTCCACTTCATTTGTGGGGGAACTATATCAGGGAAGGAAAGAGATCACTAAATGAATACCCTGCTAAATACCATATTAAAGGAGCGACCAACGCAGGGAACTGAGTGCATATTGCCTGAAGGCATATATATACCCTATCACCCTACCCAGGATTAATTAAACATATACTGTACTGTACATATAAGACTGTGGCTGTCCTCTGACATTTTCACGGCAGACCACCTGGGCTGACGCCCCAGCTATCCGCACCTGCCGGATTTTGTACCTATGTTACTGTGAGCGTTTATATTATACTGCTTGAGAAATGAACTAGCCATTTCTCAAGGAAACTGAGTGTATATTTTATACTGCCTGAGCGCAGAAACTGGCCTCTTCTCAAGGAAACTGAGTGTTCATATTATACTGCCTGAATGCATAAACCGGTTTTCTTAAGGAAACGGAGCGTCTATATATTATGCTACCGTGCATGAACTGGCCATTTCTCAAGGAAACTGAGTGTATATATTATACTGTCTGAACACAGAAACTGGCCTCTTCAAGGAAACTGAGTGTTTATATTATACTGCCTGAATGCATAAACCGGCTTTTCTCAAGGCAACCAAGTGTCTATGTATTATGCTGCCTGAGTGCACGAATTGGCCTCTTCTCAGTCTGAGTGCATAAACTGGCCTCTTCTCAAGGAAACTGAGTGTTTATATTATACTGCCTGAGTGCATAGACTGACCATTTCTCAAGGACACTGAGTGTATATATTGTACTTCCTGAGTGCATATACTGTCACCCTTCACAGGGTTATTTACACATATACTGTACCGAGGATACAAACAGTTCTGTGGCTGTCCTCTGATGTTTTTCACAGCATGCCACCTGGGGTGACCCCCCCAGCTATCCGTGTCTACTGGATATTGTGCCTATCATTAACGTGGGTGTCCTTTGACGCACAGGTCTCAGCTTTCAAGGGAACCTCCCTGTTCTGTCAGGTGAGAAGGCCCTCCCGCATTGGCACACAAATAATGTACGCTCACTAAAACATTTTTGGGTCACTATACACTGGGCGAGCCCCAGTTGTATGAGGAGGCTGCGACCTCTAGGTGATTGCCCTGCCACCATGGCACCTCACTGTTAGTCACTGTTTCACACTCAGGACAGTTCCAGACATGGAAGACACACCATAACAGACAAAGTGACCTCAACATTGTGGATGAATGGCGCAAAGATGGCTCATCCTCACGATATATCAAAGAGATCGCCCTCGGAAAGATCGACAGACACAAGGATATCTTGAGGACCCCTAAAACTAAGATGACCAAAGATGGTAACTTCTTGGACGAGCAAGGAGCACCACTCTTCGACCCTCAGAACATTCACCACCCCGATTATCGGAGTAGTCTCTCTCAGACTGCCTTGCAAGATTCGCTAGGGTGCAGAGAAGGGCCTAAAGACCACTCAAGGCAAGCTACTGGATTTGCTTGACCCTACTACCAAGACCCTCTACTTTGCGGACCTGACGCTCCCCAGGGCACCCAACTAACCCTACACACTATTCGTGAATGGGCCCAAGGAGCCATATGCCTGCTGGGAAATTCTACTGCTGCATTATGCGCCGAACGGCGCAGATCGGCCTCACTCCGCATTGATGACAAGTTATTGGACCTTGGACCCAAAGAGCTCAGACCAGAAGTTAAAGACCAACTGTTCGGTGAAGCCTTCATTACTGACCTCAATAGACACATAGGCCTGCTCACCACTTTAAGCAAAGCACAAACACTTGAATTACTACGTGGTATACAGACACTTCAAGATGGAAGGTATTCATCTCCTGCAAGACCTTCTCATCGCGAACGACCGGCTCACGCGTACCTGTCAGTCCACATCGCCCTAGACGTACATGCCAGTTCACATGGCTTCCTTTCGGTCTCAGCTCTGCTCCGTGGTGCTTCACGAAGCTGCTGAAACCAGTGATGGTTCACATCCGAACCTCGGGCATGCGATGTCTCGTTTGCCCGGACGTTTTGCTGATTTCTGCGAACCCACATCCAGATTACGATTGCAGACATTCTGTCGTTCATTTTCTGGAACCCTCGGTCTTCGTGGTGAACAGACAAAATCGCCTCTCTCTCCTTACCAGTTGATCCAGCTCCTCAGATTCTAGATCGATTCGAACTACTATATACTATGCCTCCCCACGGCATAGGTAGCCTCCATACAGAACGAGATCAGACCCCCCTCAGGATGCTTGTAAGGATTGTGGGCCTACTCTCGCCCTCAATCCATGCAATATTTCCTGGATCTCTGCACTACCGAGCCATGCTACATCTGAAAGCGAGATGGCTGCACTCGGGTCACTCATATGATCACTGGATCCAACTCTCAGACGACGTTCAGGAAGAACTTCACTGGTGGCTTCTGCTCATGCACGCCTGGAATGGCAAAGCAATTCTTGGTTCATTCCCAGACATCATAGTGGTATCAGACTCCAGCCTCTGAGGCTGGGGCGCACACTGCGTGGTCTCCTCCACAGGGGGGACCTTGGCAAGGCGAAGAGACTGACCCCCACAGCAACTGGCTGGAATTGATTGCGGGGTCCTTCGCCATTCGCAGCCTAGCCAAAGACATGTCAGACTGCTGCATTCTGCTTCATATGGACAATATCTCGGCGGTACAGTACATCAACCGCCTGGGCAGAGACAGATCTCAACCCTCACAGGGGCCACGAAGGATATATACCAGTTCTGCCTACCACGCAACATCACACTTCGAGCGGATTACCTACCGGGAATTTCCAACCTGACGACGGACTGGTTCTCTCGGCATTGGAGAGTCAACAACGACTGGAAACTTAACGGCTCAATATTCCAACAACTGAGGCTCTGGAAAGATCCGTTGAGTCTGGACCTATTCGCATCCCGGACTAATCACAAGATATCTATGCTACTCCTAACTTCGCTTTGACAGAGTCGGGCGTGGTTCCCGAACATACTAGAGATGTCCTACGACACGCCGCTTCTGTTACCATCCTTCCCCTACTTCTGATGGAACCACGAGGGGAACCTACCCCCTCATTCTGGATCAGAAGCTGGACCTAGTGGTCTGGACGATTTCAGGGGCTCCTAGTCAGTCCATGGCCTATCGTTATCTTCTAAGGACCTCCTCTGGGATTCATGGGCTCCTGGCACCAGGAGATGTTATATTTCTGCATGGG